AGAAAATACTCAGAAACAGGTGAGAGTTTTTACATGGAACAGTGTATGGCTTAGGAGTGGAAGATGGGGCTCACACAAGAATATAAATGTCAGAGCCTAAGAAAACAGGACCCACCATAACCTCAGTGAGGAGTGACCACTCCCTGCAAACAGCAGGGGAAAGAACACAGCTTTGAGCAGTGAGAACATTGCTGTGGCTACAGAGACACAGAAATGCTGCAGGGGGCAGAGAGGCACTGGGGAAGACAGCAAGCACGACTCTTGAGGAGCAAGCTCCACCAAAGCTGCTTCCTCTTTCCATCTCGGCAGCTCTGCCTCTCCCGCTGTGCCAGGCACAGCCACTGCCAGTGCAGGACACACTGCCTGCTGCACGGCACAGGGACTCGTGTTTTCCTCAGCCCTACCAGCCCTGCAAGCTGCAGCAAACACCCCGCTGGGGGCAGCAGACCACCCACATTCCTTAAATCCAACAGGGAGGAAAACAGAGCTCTCTCTGAGCCCAGCTCCACCAGCAAACCCAAACCCTGCCACCTCCTGCTGCTCCAGCCTCTAGGATTCTGAGAAAATGTGATCATTTTGGATTTAAAAGAAAATATAAAGCATTGGGAAAACTGTGCATCATTAAAAAACTCTCTGCAGAAAGAATGGGAAAGGGAAGCAGACTCCCACCACTGTTATTTCTAATCTGATGCCCAGTGTTCCCCCTATAGATAAAGCTTTCAGAGGCTCCTTCAACTCTGAACAGCTTTGGTAATTCCAGTAGTAAGTCTTGTAGTTTCAGCAACTTAACCCCCTCATTACATTCAATTAAATACGAATGTAGTCCTACTGAAGAGATAATGGGCAACGTCTATTCTCTTACCTAACACCAATAAAATGTATGGTACACAAATTTTGTGGTCAAATAAGCACTTTCTGAAGGAAAAAACTCCACTAACTTTGTGTTTGCTCCTTTCCTCCATATTTCACTCTCTACAAGGGCATCTATTTCTTTGCTACTCCTGACAATTAGTAGGCATCTAGATAATATACCCTATTTTTTCCTCAGGTTTTTGTGCTGTTGTTTGTTTTAAAAGTTCTTGTAGTAGGAGAGCCATACTACATATCAAAACATAACACCTCTGTTCTTCAACTGCACTAAAGCAAGAGTCAGATACTGAATATTCAGAGCTAATATAAAAACATGTTAGAAATGGAACAAGGCTCCCACCAAAATACCCATTTGAGCAGAGAAAAAACAAAGAGAAGGTCCTGACAAGCCCTGACACGGTGCTATACACTTCCCACGGAATGCTTGCTCAAAAAACAAAGACTGAAAATTTGGTTAAAAAAGAAATGTAGAGAAGAGAATGTGTCCCATCACTAAATCCAGGAAAGGAGCCACCTAGTTTTCATGGTACCTCCAAAGCATCTGCTTAAATATCTTTAGAAAGTTTGAAGTGAAAGTCATGTAGGACCTGTAATTTCTATATATTCTATATTCTCTATATTCTCTTATATTCTCTTAAGTGAAGAGTAAAACTTCTGAAAAGGTTTAATTTGGTTTCATCTGGTTCAATGGGAAAGTATAAAATGCAAAGAAAAAGAAAAGTTACAGAAATTAACTAGGAAGTCCAGAACAAATGGTCCACAAAGGAGTTCCTTTCACACTCCCACCACCAGTCTGCTCTCCAGACTATGAGGAAAGTAAAACTGCTCAGAAATTGTATTTCATAGCCTGGCAGTAGAGACTTTCACCCAAAGTTATGATAAATGCCTCATTTTTCAAATGCCAAATGACATGTTGATAACAATCAACAACCTCTTACACTACATAATGCTACACACCATCAATAAGATATAAGAAATGGAGCATTTTCACTCCAGACTACCTTCAGATTGAGAGAAAAACTGAATGCTAGAAAACAAAACCCACTTTTTACTGTACACCATTCCATTGTATAAACTGGAATAATCCTGATGCTTCTGTTTCAAACAACTTTGTGCAGAGAAGTCGGGCTAGGCAATGGAATTCTGCATCTGCACCAGGTTTTTCACCCAAAGGTGAAAAGGTGAATAACAGAGCAAACCTGAACTGCAAAACCAATTAAGCCTCTCTTGAAAAGGAATCCAAAACGACAGCAAGAAGTTGGATACTACAAAGTATCCTTCCCAGAGGGATTTCATTACACTTGGCTTTCTTTCTGGGCTGGGGTCCAGGAATATCAGCACTGCCTTACTGCTTTTCAAAAAATAAATTGCTTGAATAATGTGCACCTTGTGCACTGCATTGAAATAGACAATCCTTAATCTTGACTTTTTTATTCTGTTCAGATCTATCTTCCCTAAATAAAATGAAAGTATTTTGATTTTTTTTATCAGAATCATGAAAACTTGTGAATTCCAAACAAAAATCTCACAAAAGGCAGAAAGATCTTTTCTTGGTAGTTCAGGGACTACACCTCTCTTTATGAGGTACACCAAGGAGTGTACAAAAACCCTAAGACAAGCACAGACCCACTGAAAAATGGTAAAAGTAAAGCCTAACCTCTCCTGAAGCTCAGCTTGGGAATTCCTCATATACACTGTGGGGAAGGAAGGACAGACACAGTCAAAGAAATCCCCATTCCCATAGAGAAGTCAAAGACTTTTCTTTCAGAAAAAAAGTCTGTATCTAAATACTTTAAAATTACTCCTTTGATGTGCCTTTTGACTGCTTCCCTATCCCAGAGGAAATTTCTCATGCCATTTTATCCTTGTCACTACACTCACCACATCTGACATGGATCATGTCTAATGGCAGTGATCTGGTGAGTCTGATCTGGCTTCAACCAGTACTGAGAACAGGCAAGGTAAATAAATATAGTATTTGTGTCTTTGTGATTCAGAATAATGAGAATATAGTATGTAGATCCCTCTTTATTACCAGATGCCCATCTGGAAGATGCTGTTCTGTTTGGCTTTTTAGATGACAGTAAGTGGCTTCTGGAAAGCATAGGTTTATCTGGGAAACTTCCAGCACTGTCACACCTTGCCAGGCAGACTAAAAGCTTTGAAAGGTACTTCTGACCTCTGTTGTAATCTCTGCATTGCAAGGGATACCCAAAGGAGACCATGGCATTTTCCCAGAGGTCACCACAGAGGCCACAGATTTGGCTACAGTCCTGCATGCATCCAATTCAGCTTTCAAGGCCTCTCCAGACACACCTCAGCTGCTGAGCATGGCTGTGCCTGCTGCCTTCCCAAAGCAGGGACTTCTGCCTCTCCTGCTCACAGAGGAGCCCGTGACTCTGGGTGTAGGCTGACATCTGGCCAGAGTGGCTTTAGTGACTCTGAGCCAGGAGGGCAGCCAGTCCCACACTCCTTCAGGTCTGCTGAGCTGTCCTGACCCAGTCCCTGTTTCTGTTGCCCTCAGGCACTTTCTCAGCCTGGCTCACCAGCCTGGCTCACTCATTGTTCCTGCCAAGTGGGCAAGAACAGAGGTTCTCACAAGCAGCCCTTGTGCTCTTAGCTGGTCTCCTTTAATCGGCATAGCACTTTACAGCTTCTAAATATTATATTCATGCTAGATCATGAAAGTCAAATGTTTCCTCTGCTACTTAAACAGCAATTTAAAAGAGCAGCTTGAAGTACTGTGCCTCATAAAAATTGAGCTTGTCACAGAGGAGAAGGAAAAACATTGTAAGCTGTAATTGTTCTGAGAAAATGTTGCTGGAAGATACATAATCCAATGTGACACTTGAAGTCCTTGTCATGGAGCATTTGATCATTAAAAAAAAATATTATTTCTAAGGTCTATTTTCACGTCAGTGCACTACACATCTTGTCAGAACAAACAGCACATTAATGCAAATGATAAATAAAAAGTATTTCATTTTCACAGCCAAAACATTTCCATTCCAAGAACTACTGTAAAAATAGAGCTACTGAAAGTGAGTGTAACCGTGAGAAGAGTGTGTTGTAACATAAATTATATTTATCAGCAAAGGACAGTATGAGGTTATTACACCTCCTTAAGATGGAAAAAAAAAAAAAAAAAGAGAGAAGATTGACCTGTCTTTTCCACCCTGTGTTTCAAATACCAGCTGTTAAACAAAGGCTCAGTGATGTAAATCTAGAGCAAACCACACACCTGAACATGTCACACCACTAGGGATAGCACTAGATTGTCCTAGAAAGTGCAGCAGCACTGCAGCTGAGGGTGAGGAACAGCCAACCAAAGTGAACGTGCCCAAGGAGTTCTATGCTGAAATCACCCTCGAGGTTACCATGAAGCCCAACAACGTGGCCAAAGCCTTTTCAATCAATCAAGGGATGGCAAAAGAGGAATTTTCACCAGCACTATATAAAGTATGTTGTCCTACTGTTAAGCACAGTAGCTAGAAGGTGAATGAAATAGCTGTATTTTAGAGTGTGGCATTGGTAACGAAAGGGGCGCAAAGGAGGAAAGTTGCTTTCTATGCAGGAAAAGGAAAACACACCTTTGCCTACTAAGAACCAGAGGCCAGAGAGCAAAAGGACCTGCATGTACATGCTGTGTGCGTGAGACACGGGACACTCTAACGCAGCTTTGCCTTGGGCTTGGCCCTGCTAGCGGGGAGCGGAGCGCATAGCGCTGGACAGGGCTGGGAACACACCCGAGCCGTGAGGACACACCCGGGAGCAGAGCGGATGGCTCTCGGCAGGGCTGGGAGCACACCCGAGCCCTCAGGGCAGCGCTCCGCACACCTGTGACCCGCGTTACCTTCCTGTCGGGCGGGGACGGGGCACTTTTACCTGGATCACCCCGCATCCACCCCCACGCCAGGCCGGTGTCCCGGTAATTCAGCTCCCTCTCGGCAGCCGTCGTGCTCCGACGCTTCACGTGGCGAAACCCCGGCTCCGGTCGGGGCTGGGCGAGGAGCGCGTTCCCGGGCGCGGAGCGGGAGTCGCCTCACCCGGCCCCGCGCCCCTGGGTGTTGTGAGGGTGTCCCGTCCCCCCGGCCCGCCGCTCCCGGCCCGCTCCCGCCGGAGCCGCTCACCGGCGCAGCGCAGGCCCTGCGAGAGCACGAAGCGGCAGCACAGGTCGCACCACGCTCCCGCCGCCGCCGGCCCGAAGCGGTGCGGGGGCTCCGGCGGCGGCGGCGCCTCGAAGATGGTGCGGACGTGGCGGGGCCGCGGCGGCGTCGGGCGGCGGCGGCCGCCGAGCGCGGGGCCCGGGCGGGCGGCGGGCTCGTCCGGCGGCTGCGGGGTCCCCGCCCGGCCCCGCCGAGGCTTCTCCCGCCGGTGCCGCGCGGCCGCCGCCATGCGGAGCGGAGCGGGGCGCGCCGGCCCCGCCGCCTCTGCCCGCCTCACGCACACGGCAGCCGCGGGCGAGGGGAGCGGGGAGGCGGCGGGGGCGAAGGAGGCGCTGCACCGCTCCGCGTCCACCCCGCGACCTCCCGAGTCCCGCCGCCCCGCGCCCGGCAGGCACACACTCCGCGTCATTCGGCGTGAACGCGCTCCGGGATGCGGCGGCAGCCCCGGGCACAGGGAGAGCTGACAAGAGCCGGGGATGCGCTTCAATAGCTTCATTAAAATGATCTGCCTCCCTTCCCTAAAGCAGCTACTGGGGAAATACTTCCCAGGGCTGGGTAGAGCTGCTGTAACCCACACCTGCGTGGGGAGGCTGTGGCAGCCGGGGTGGTCAGAGCTTGCCTCCAACACTTGTGTGAGCTCCGGGAGCACAGCGTTGGAGAACTGCCCCCTGCCCGGCTCCCGCACGCCAGCAGCTCACTGGCCTTACTGCACACAGGCAGCAAAGTTCTCCAAAAGATGTGCACCTACAGCTACTGCTGCCTGAGCTAGTACCAGTGACAAAATATCAAATTCCACTGAGGGATACTACCCCTACCACTTTTTTTTGGTGACTGATGAAAAAATAAAGCTATTTAGAACACAGAAAAATAGAAGGTCATGAAGCCTTGCCAATGGCAGAATCGGTCACAAGAGCTCAAGAACATAATCTGTTCCTGTAAACCCTCTTCAAACGGTATTGCTGTTCCCAGGGCAATCTGTTCTGGCACTTGCCTCTCTTCACCATTAGAAAGGATTTACCAACGTTGTAGGCTGGGTTTTTGTTTCAATAACAGTTTATATTAATAATGTATAATGCTTTCACCACAGCCACAGTGAATGCTGATCTTCTGGAACAGCCTGTAGATTACCAAAGACTTTTGCTTCCCTCTTCCTCCAGTACTCCCTTCTTTCAGCCAACAACTTCCCTTTTCCCCAGTTCTGCTCAGGCCTATCCAGAACTGTTCTACATTTACCACTTCTACAGTGACTGACTACATTAGAACTGATTTGAATTCTACCAGTGAGCAGAGACTAGGACTTTTACCACCATTAAAAGAATTAATGTAGTTCAGAACATATATCAACCAAGAAGTTAAAAAAAAAATAGAAGAATTAGTGGCTCTACCATATTGCCAATGCTAGTGATTCTGTTGAGCAGGGCACATTTTCTGAACAGCTGGATAATGCAAACTGAGCTGCAATTTGCAACTTCATGTTTCAGGCTCTCTACTGTGCTTACAAGAAAATAAATCTCGTAAGGATGTCCTGAAATTAACAGAAAATTAAATTATGAAAAGGCAGAAGTACACACTGTACAATAAGTGGTTGGTGATGTATTTATGCCATTAAGCTGTTCACTCATGCATTTTCACAATTCATATGAAGACAGGTTTGTTCAAGTAACAGATAATTAATATATTCAGCTAAACCCCGCAAACCAGTAAACCAGCTTCAGGAAGAAGAACCATATATTACTTGCTATTACTTATTTTGGCAAATGAATAGCAAGATTCATAGCATCAGGACACTTAGTTTGAGCAAAAAGTTGATGGTACAACACTATGCTTTGACTTGAAAAATTATTTGCTTCATAATAACGTAACCAGAAGATTATGAACTGATTACTTCAAGTTCCTTAGCTACTGCTTTGTTAAAATTGCTTTAGAAAAAGAAATTTTAACATGATTAAGATTACTGATGTATTCAGCAAGACTAAAGCCAGCAATGTTTAAAATGAACATAAAATATAACAAAAAAATTTCAAACATGTAAAAGAATGCTGCACATATTTCAACATACAGACTATACTTATACTACAATTAACTTTCTTTTTCGGACTGCTTCAGTATAAGGAAGTTGAAAATTATATATTCCACCTAGCATTTGATTTCTTTCAGGATTAAGAACTTTGAAACAACAAAGTGTTATAATGTTGGAAACAAAATACAGTTTATGCACATCTAGAGAGCCCAATTCTTTTAACATTTATTCATGTGTTTTAGTGATACTCAGTGAGACTGTGGATGTGAATGAACAAATGTACAAGCAGGCATTAAAACATTCCAGTTAGATATAATTCCAGTATTTTAAAACTGTTAAGAATGCCAAAGAAAGATATGTGACAAACTGCTGCACTCCTTTTGCATAGCTAGATTTTTTGGGTGACAGAGACAGAAGCTGCTCACATGAATGTAAAAATGTTTGAATTCCCTTTTTTGATTCTCACCAAGAACGCTGGAATGCAGGTCTTGGACATCAAGGCAAGCAAATTTCCTTTTTTTTTAAAGTGAAACATTCATTTATAAATTTCCTAAGTTTCTCTCCAAATATTTTCCAGAAAGGAAATTAAAATGCTTTGTGTTCTGACCTGGACAGATAAGCAGGGAATAAGCACCACAAAACTACCAGATGCTATCACTGGTCAATGTTGTTTAGTTTACATCTAAATGTTCCACCAGTAATTATGGAAAATTCTAAATATAGTTGGTCCAGCTCTTACAGGTGTAATGCAGCAATGAGAAGTGTTATTGACACCACTGAACATCCATGACCAGGTTTCCACAAGGAAGAAATGAGTTCTGTAATACTTGCATGCTCATCTGAAACAAGTATGTACATCTGTAGTATCCAAACAAAGGGATGTTTCCAGAATTTTTTGATTTCCTGTTCTCTATCTCCTATGTATTTTGGAGCAGAATGTTTCACTTTGCATCTCTGCATCCCAATCATGTAGCACTGAAAGTAGTAACTATTGATGATGGAAAATAAATAAATTTTCCATCAACGTTTGGTACCAAAGTTGTAAGGCAGCAGTGGGAGTGGTCCCTTTTCAAATCTAGACTGGTACCTTTTTCTCCACTATTCAGTTACTATTGAGGTGTGATACTGTCCAGTCTACTGTCTGTCCACAAACTCTTCTCATACCAAATTTTTAACCTTTTTAAAAAATTATACCTGCAAATAAGATTAAGAAGAAGCCATTTTAAGTACCCATTATTGTGGTGAGCAACAAGATTTCAGGGAAAGTCTGAAAATGCTGTACTCCAAAAAATGACTTTCACATTCATTCTGACAAGCTGGAGTGCAAAACTTCCATATACTAAGCAGTCAAACGATTACAGACAACATGGCACCAAATATTTAGAGAACATAAAAAATATTGTGAATTTGCTTCCTCAAGTAGAAGAGAACTAACAATTTGAATGTGAAGGAAAGAGAAATGCATTTCTGTTCTGTCCTATCTGCACTCTTAGTCCCTATTCACATTCATTTAAAAACATTTCATTTAAAACATTCATCATGTTCTGTGATGATCACAGTCATTCAGCTAGACTCCTACGTAACAGTGGTTGTTGGAGTTAATCCAAAATACCCTTTATATAAGGTATTTTGGAGTACTGCAAGTCCTCTTGCAATGAAGACTAAATTGCATTCTGAAAAAAAGGGCAATATTCAAAGCAGACAAATGTCAATTTCATCAACAATACTTTTCCCTTCAGGACTTGTCAGAGATCCTCCAAGGGGCTCAATTCCCTGCCAGAAGTTATTCTATCCTAAAAGTGACCAAGAAAAGATATATATTTCTTTTGTATTTACATATTATACATATTTACATTTTCTTTAATAATACAGCTGCTGAAGGAAAAAAAAATCCTGGATAGAGGTTCTGCTTTCAACTGTCCCAACAGTATTTTTTCCCTTTGAAAAAATTTACAAGTCCTCTTCAGGTCCTTTGGAAGCTAGATACAGTCCACGTTCCGCAGGCCACCATCCATAGTCAAGGCACCAAATCTAAACCACAAAAAAGTACATTTTTAGGTGGTTGACTAGACTATAGAATCAATCTTTAATTTCTTTATGGGGTTTTCCTTTCACTTGTTACATGCCAAGAGAAGCATTTGTAACTAACTTTTATATCTGCAAAGAAGATGGAAGAAAGGAAGCTTTGCTGCAAGTATGGGACTGGGAGTGGGGAACAAAACAAAACTAATTCAGATTGAAGCTAAACTCCACTCTACCAGCAATTTACCCTGGAACTTTCAAGAGATACTTATTTTTACATATTTTCTCATCTTCATAGGAAAAAAAAATCAAAATCAGTCTGTATGTGATAATGACAATACTCTCTCAGTAATGTAAGAAACATGTTTACCTCTTCACTTTATTTAAGCAATCTGAAAACTGCAAAATCATCAATTCAGATTGGTGTAATTCCATGGCTGTCAAAAATAACTTCTAAATGGGAGGAATTAAAAGGCACCATTGCATTGCTGCAACATTATTGTGTTTAAAATCAGAATTGATCCATCTGTGCAACAGGAATTATTATTATATTTATCTTTTATATTATATTATTATATTTATATTTTATTTATATATTATTATATTTTAATATTTATAGCAAAACAAAAGTAACATGAAACAAAAATGCCACAAAAATTGCTGTAAGATCATTCTGACCCAGCCCCGTTCCAAGGTTTTAAGCAATTATTTTTTTGTTATATCTCATTTGAACAGGTCAAAATATATTTACAGTTAAAGACATTAAAGAATTGTTCCCTTACTTTAAATTCTGGATCTAAATGTACCAAATGAAGGCTCCCCCTAGTTTCCATCCCAAAAGGGAAAACAAATGCTTGCCTTTCCAAAATGTGATTGTTTTCAGCCAGCTCTTTAACAACACCTTCCATTTCCTCCTTCAGTTTCTTCATCCTGTAGTAACCAGAAGCAAAATAAATATTGAAGTTTTTATTGGTATAGATACCTGCTCTGATCCCTCACCACAACAGTTTTCAGCAACTTGCCATTACATACACAATAAGGGACAGGTAAGTTGTTTATTTACAAAGAGACAGATGATACATTAGTGCTGTCCCCCACTCACTTCCAAATCTGTGCCACCACTATAGCAATCTAAAATTCTTGATCTTAATACAACAATCACTAAGCAATTTATTTTTTTTTTTAAATTTCCCTGTATAGCAAGCATACAGTATTACATCAATCCCCTTAAAAAATTCTCACCCAAGAGTCATTTCCACTAATGTGTTTGAGCTTGGATAGACTGTATTCATCGTATGTTTCATTCCACTGGAAGCTGCAAACATTTTCTGTGGCAGGGCATCTTGTAACTGTAACAGATAAAAAGG